TTTTTTTGTATTTATATATTTAGCTGTAATTTATAATTTCCACAGCTTTGCTGCCATTTAGGTGTTTAATAAATCTTATCTTTCTCTTATATCATCTCTGATAATATAATAAGACTTTGATTTGTATTTTAATGATCGATAGGTCCAGGTTTAGCATTTGTAGCGTATCCCTCAGCTGTAGCAGAGATGCCTATCTCACCGCTTTGGGCTTGCCTCTTCTTCTCTATGTTATTCATGCTGGGATTGGATAGTCAGGTAAACATAACGTAACCAGGAAAAGTCACAACGAATAATCCTTCCTGATTCCTGTCAATCAAATTGACTGTTGACTATTTCAATATTGCCTTCAATTTATATTTGTTTCTGACATCCGTTAACGACAATTAGGTTGTAGCAACTACTTTCCTATTTTTTTTTTTTTTTATTTTGTGAGAGTAAATGAATTCTATGTAATGATGCGTAATGTACAATAGACCTCCCACAATTTCTTATACACATTTGCGCCATAATGATCTTGACCCCTGCAGATAAATAACGAACAGGTGACAAATCTAATCAATCACTAACCATTACATATTGCCTGTAACTATGGCAACAATTAGTACGCAACGTGTGCACTTGCTAAAACACTTGTCACGCAGAGATGACAGATATTTTTTGATGTGCTATGTCGAAAAAATGTAAACTGTCTACTCAGCAATCTGCTCCTTGACCTCGCTGGTTCCACCGGAAATTTTCATACCTATGCATAATACATACATACATACATACATACATACATACATACATACTCTATAGCCACCACTGATCGGTTCACTATACTGAGGAACAATGTGATGGAAAATGTCAACCAATTTGAACTATATTGATACACTTTAAACGTGCAGATCAGACATTTAAATATCTTAAGGCCGTAGATTCTGGGAGTTCACCAACAGACACCACCTGGCGACCATATATTTTTTTTTCTGTGACCAAACACCTCGCTTTTTTTTTCTATGACCAAACACCTCGCTGCTCCAGGGTCCAGGGTTATAAAACGGTCAGAAATGATAGTGATAGTATTGGTGGTGGTGGTGGAGATGGTGGTGTAAACATCTTGTAAAAGACATTTGCCGAAACCCAGTTTGCTGAGTCAATAGCCACTTTACCGAAACCCACTTTGCCGAAATCATGACAACCCAATTTGCCGAATCTCAGTTTGCCGAAACCCAATTTCCCGAATCTTGCCATCACCGTCGTAGATGGTCAGGATGGAGCCGTATTTACACAAATTGAAAGGCAAAATGCTAGAAAACATTCACGTGGAAAAACACACTGTAAATGATTTGCCGACGGGGTCTAAATCAAGGGACCCTCTAGAGCTTCGATCAAGGCCCTGGCATAAAGATCCCTTGGTATGGGAGATAAGATGCTTGATCCTTCATTTCATTTTCAGCTAAAATTAGAAATAAAATAAAATGAAGGCTTAAACATCGTAACCCCCCTAAAAAATCTCTTCCAGCGAATCCTACCAGAGATTTTGGGGCCAGAGCCCTGACAGAGGTTTTAGTTCAGACCCCTTGTCGGCAACTTTTTTGGAGCAACCACCCAGCACTTATGTTATGTAGGCCCTATTTATTATATATATGCTCACAAGATATTTTATCCGATAGGCCTATTTATTTTTTTATTTTTTTTTTGCTGATAGCCGAATATTTAATAAAGTTTTATTTATAGAATAAGATTAAAAACAATCATTAAATTACAATAAGCCGCTATTTATTATATGAATTCATGGTAAGACAGTGCTGCATCGTAAGGTTGATGCTGTTGTTAATGTTTTTCTGCTTTTAATTGAATTTTTGTCAAACTAGGTTTTCCGATAAAACTGGGAATTATGGTTTTTGAGTCGGCAAACTGGCATTCGGCACACTGGGTTTCGGAAAAGTGGGCTCGGCAATCTGACATTCGGCAAACTGGGTTTTGACAATCTGGCCTAGAACCCTATAATGATCATGACCATAATTATCATCAGCTCTGTGACCATGATCATCATCTTAATCTTGAAATAGAAATGATGGTGATGATGACGTTCACGGTAGTAATTAAGATGATGAAAGCGTATATACTGTCATTCTAATATGAACTTAAATAGATGGAAATATTTCAATCCTTTAATTCATGTAAACAATATATATTTCTGTTTTTGATCCTGTAGTTCTGTACCATGGAAGGATTTTTTACCGCCTGTATGGACGAATGGCCTCGTTACCTCAGACGTTACAAAGAAATTTTCATCGCAATTGTCTGTTTCTTCTCCTACATTATAGGGCTTAGTATGGTGACAGAGGTAATGTAACCTAGAAATAGTATACTTTACAATGTAATGTCCATTTAACTTAACACAATACTACCAGCGTTACACTGTTGTTCAACTATTCATAAACAATTAGTGTTTGTATGTGGTTTTCCATGCTAATGAGCTTCAGTTTTACTAAAGTTTGCCGTTTGTTGTATTAACATTCACTAAACCTCAATACGAAGAGCAAAAAATATGTCAAACAAATTTGTGGAAATCTGGAGAAAACATTCTAGGCCTGTTGTTGGAACATTATTAGGCTCAATACCCCGTTTTTCAGTCATCAGAGCTTCAGACCTTTACTCTGGGGGCAAGGGTTCGAATTCCTTATTGGGCGGTTGTGTCCTCATTAGGCCTAACTTATCCAACTTTTCAAAATTGGTTGCTCCTCCGTTGTTATAATTTGTAATCGACATATTTGGAGTAAACTTATACCATCAGTTTCAGTGCTTGGTTTCTATTGGCCCCAGAGTGTTATCATTAGTATAATATTTTTTCAGGGTGGTATATACGTCTTTGAACTTTTCAACACGTACTCAGCAAGTGGTATGAGTCTGCTGTTCTTGGTATTTTTTCAGACTGTCGCCATCAGTTGGTTTTACGGTGAGTGAACAAAACTAACATCAGCTCTGTAACAAATATTGTGAACGCCAAGTATACCCCTAGTTCTCAATTCCAAATCAGATCACGAGTTTAATACTTTGGACTGCGAGTACTGTATAATTATTATTATTACAAACTTTATTGCAGACACAAAATGAATTTTGTATCTAATAAGTCACAGTCACATTTGTTGTATTAGAAAAATATTTACTGTTTAAATTGTTTAATTTCCTGGTGAATCAATCAAACATGCACTAAAACAGCTACGAAACTGTTCTGAAGTACAGTATCCCCAACTGAAGATGATAGATCTAATACAGCGATGGAGTCATTGTTTTCCAAACATGACGTAGTACATCGTCACATCTCTCATGTCAGCTGTCATATAAAAAAAAATGACCACGACACCTCAATAGCTGAACCAGGTGACCCAGACGACTGGCACCGCCTTGGCCGAATGAATAACTTTCTCGTGGGTTATTTCTCAGCAGAGAAGGCATGCGAAACGTGATATTCCGAGTGTCTTAAGCCTGGTTTCCATAAAAAAAATAAATTGCTACACGCTATCGCCGACACATTAATGACGACGCTGATTGGTCATTTGAATTCAGTAAGGAAGCTATAGCGACAGTGCAGCGATTGTATAAAAACCGGTCTGACCCAGTCTGAAAAAGGTTGGGAACTAAGGGTGTAAAACATTACATCCTAAGAAAGTGTTAGAGCATGCAACTTATCGTTAATTATACTCTAGTTTTACATTTATATTATATTAGTTCTACTTGTCTCTCAGTAAGCTTAATTTCTATACAATGCTACATGCTATCACGGACAGCTTTCGTCGATGCTAATTAGTCGATCGAATCGGGGAGCCTTTCCGATTGCGTCGGAGATTGCTACGCTGTACAACGATTGCACTGAAAACATAGCGACAGTGTAGCGATTTCAAGGAAACCAGACTTCCGTGACTGTTTACGTGTATCGCTATGGTTAAGATCATTGGTAACTTAAAGTGTATTCTATAATTTGTGAAATAATTGAGATCCTACCGAATGTTGACGTACTGTAATATTTTAGTTATTTTACAATTGACTTTCAGGGGTCGACCGTTTTTACGAAAACATTGAAAAGATGATTGGATACAAACCAAATATCTGGTGGAAATTATGCTGGCTTGTTTTTACACCAGCCATTACAGCGGTGAGTTGCGCGAATTGAATTGGAATAGTAGGCCAAAATATTATTGTATTTTTGAATCGAATGTACTGCATAATTTTACATGATCACATTCACATACAAAAATTCACATTTCTTACTTCAATTCTGAATCATAGGAAGTACTTTTTTTGTTTTATTGAAGTCACCTTTTAACCAAAGAGGTCATAGACAACTGGAAATGTACATTATATAACGAAGAGGGCAGAATGAGCAGCTAAGGCAAGAATTTCTTATACGCAGCTGCTTTAAAATCTCCAAAACCATATTTCTTCCTAATTAAGCCTATATAAATTTGAAGAATTTAGCCATCCCACTCCTACACTGCTTACATTTACCAATAACATTCTATTTTTATTTTCTCATGTCTGGATGTTTTTGGCAAAACTAAAGTAAGAAATTTTTTTTCCACCCTCCTCTGACGATTTTTAAACATTAAGTTCGCGAAACAATGATACAAATTTCTCGCCTTAAAGGAAAAGTAACATTCGACATTCTAATACATCTCGGCTTAGAAATTAAAAACTTACTACTTCCATATGTTTTTTTCCCCCTTAACAATCATCAATTACTAAAATTAAATGAACATTAAAAAAAAAAAAAAGGGGAAAAAAAAAACAATTTACAATATTGACTGGTATCCTTGCACTTTACAGAGTTATGCCTAATCGAATTTACGGCTCAAATTTACATGACCGCATTCATGTTCAAATTCTCTTTTCTTAGTTCACTTCCTAATAACCATATGTCTTCAAATAATGTTCCTTAATTATCGTTGTACTATTTAATAAAGTGGGCATCACCACTGCGTAGAACGCCATCAGCGACTTGAAGCTCTGTTTATCGTTTAAAAATGAAATATCTATATATTTTTATGGATGTGTATAATACAAAAAATCAATTCAATAACATAGAAATTGTGACTAAAAAGGGAAGAGTTAACTAGTTTCTCATCGATGAGGAAAATACAAATCGGAGGTAAAAAATTCTATGTAATTCTACAGTTTGTGGGATTAGATAATCTTAAAGTCCCTAAACGTGTTAGAGATATTGGGCCTTGACCCCCTTTATGTTCTTCCAGTGGTTCGGAAGCCCATGGCTCTCTTTCGGAATATTAGACCACCCACCCCAGGGTTTGGCACAAAAAAAGAATTTATTTAAAATAATTTGATTAATATTTTACAGGGAGTGTTTATCTTCAGTCTTGTAAAATACACTCCGTTAACATATGTGGATTATGTGTATCCAGATTGGAGCTACGCTATCGGTTGGATGCTAGCCCTTAGTTCAATGTTGTGTATTCCTGGATATATGGTGTATCTTCTAGCAAAAACGCCTGGAACATTGTACGAGGTTAGTTTCATTACAGATTTTCTGAAATAAAACCCATAAGTGTTTGTATGTACGATTAGACAGTAAAACTATACAAATAATACACTAATACGTTTGAAAGACAACTGAGGATGATCATTATCAAAATCATGAATAATGATGGTGATGGTGTTTGTGGTGATGAAGGTGATTCCAGTAATGATGATGATGGTGATGGAGATGTCAGTAATGATGTTGGTGATGGAGGTGCCAGTGATAAAGGTGGTGGTGATGGCAGTTATTTTTATTTATTTTTTATTTAATACCATATTTCATTACCATCCAGCATTGCTGATCATTAGGGGCCCTCAAACAATAAATGGATAGAAAACAAGAATCACTTAAATACAGATTTATAAAATTCAGATATTAAAGATAATTTGTTATAATCTGAACATACATTAATTTAAATAGTTATAAAAAGAATTACAAGAAAATTTTAAAATATATTGTTTAAATTTTAGTTTTAAAATGGCGAATGTAGTACATATAGTACATAAACGAATATATTTTGGAATAGAATTATATAAATTTGGACACTACCGTGATGATGATGATGATGATGATGGTGGTGGTGATGGAGATGGGAGTGATGATGATGAAGTTCATAATGATGGTAGTGACCGGGACCCTTCTACTGGATGTTGATGATGATAAGGATTATAAATAGCGTCACTGTCACCAAAGAGGATGTATATAGGTATCTCTTAATTTGTATTAATAATAACGCTATTTAACTTCAATTTTCAGCGCTTCGTGATTTGTATAACTCCTCAATGGACTGAGAGTGATTATGCGAGAGGGATTCCCGTATCTGACTACAAAGTGAGCACATACGTTAACGCCACACCCCAGGGTTACCAGGAAGTAGTGAATAACGATGAATGCAAGGTTTAATCTGGCGGCAATGCAGTTAAAAATACACATAAGAAAGTATGAATGATATCTGAACAGACATGGATAGGCCAATGGTGGAGAGGCGTTTGTGATGACGACATAATAAGTCCTAACATAAGTGTTGTGACAGAAGAAGTTGATTGATGATTATACCATTGTAATGATAAATACTTGGATAATTTGCCATCAAGTTATGACCAAATGACCTGTTTTCGGTCACCTGTCATTCAGTTAAAAACACTTCAGGTCCATGAGAACACTATTTGGATTCGACATGTTGTAAAATATTTTGTCACTATAGGGTTGATAATTAATTAGATAGGCCTATTAATTAAGGTGTTCATAGTCAGTGAGAATAATCAACAAGCGATTGAAGATAGACAGGTAGAGAAAACTAGGGATACATAAGTTGGATGATTTAATAAGTTTGTTTTGAAAAAAGAATATGGAAAATCAGAATTTACATAGAACTTATAAACAAAACAAATAATACATTAATTACAAATTATAATGAAAATAATAATAATAACAGGACTAATAAGACTAGTAATAACAACATGTTATAATAATAAATATTAAATATAATAAATAATAAATATTTTATTTTATTATTAAATCTAAACGAACAATTAAGCATTTCCCTGAGTGGTGGTAGCCTCGTTCGCCTATTATTAATAGCCGATAATAAAGAACGTGTGGTATTGCAATGATAAATTGTTAAATTGATGCTTTTAATTTGAAGTACCGGTACTAGGCCTATTTCTGAAAATGTTAACCAGAGCAAAAAAAATGTATTTCAGATATTGGACGTTCATAAGAATAAATTTGAATAACCATTTAGTGGTAATATTCCGTTCAGCAGGGATCAGAGGGAGAATCCAGTAAAGATGACACATATTTTATAGTATTTCATTATTCAAAAACATTACATATTCCCTGATATAAGCGCTATATAAGAACGAAATATTATTATTATTATTGTGATCCACACTGAAAATGACGGATCGCGTGTCTGTATTTGCAAAACATACTACAGTGTACTAGTAAAATCCATAAAATTAAGACGTTTGATAAAACTTTATAAAACTGGCATATTACACTATTATTATTTAAGCATAATAACTGTTCTCTTGTATGTTAAATCAGGGTATATGAATTAGCCTATTAAACGTGGCGATGTTTTTCGCTGTATAGATGGATGTTATTTGTCACAAGTTCTGATGAATTAGCTACCGAACGACAAATTTGATAGAGTAAAAATGCCATAACATAACAGTAAAGGTTTTGTGAATATTTGTCTATATATTATATATATGTTAAGTTTTCTTAGTCTACCATAGAAAGGTAGGCATAGGTAGCAGGTATATGGGTCGTTTTTTTTATATAAATGTAAGGTATAGCTTCAGGATTCTACATGTAGGTCAACTCTTCACGTTATTTTTCCTATAGAGTTAACATTTAAATCGGTCACTCTTGGCGGCCCTAGCACACACAAAACGTTGTTATTATAACATTCACGAAAAACCATGTGGACGCTGTGGATATGTTGTCAAAAAAAATACGAGCGGAAAGCTGCAGCATTTAGTCAGAACTTACTATACGTTACAAGTACGTATTTATAGTGGAAACCAAACTTAAACGGTATATAACGCAAACAATTGTTAACTTGGCTAATACTATCACATCAGTGCATGCATTGACTGTTGATACATAATACAGAATTGTTTATACACGATACCAAGATATTAAAACATTTTAAATTTTATATTATTAATAGAATTATTAGAATTGTATTATACCATTTTATTATAGTATATAGATCTCACTACTGTGTATATAGTAACATTATATATTCTATATTATAATATTTTCATTTCATAATAGATACATTGTTATTACGAGTAAAAATCTATAAAACTCTTAGGTGGTCTAGTCATGAACGTTTTTGTAGTGTAGTATTTATAAGTCGAGCTATAGTCATATTGCAGCTCCGGCCTCTAGAATGGAAACATACGGTATTATGAATAAACAATGTATATTCCAAGCTCTGGAATCATGTGTCAGTATAGTTATTCGACTATCTTAAAACTTGCATTAGAGAATATACATTTCATGAAAATCTAGAAAGCTCCTTTTGAAACCAATCAGACTTGCCAAACTTTAGTTATCGTGGTAACAAACAATTTGTTACAGTAGCGACTACGACAACATGGAAAAATATTACAATTTCACCTAAATTAGAATTTGTTATGGGAATTGCGATGGTATTTGAAGTGAATTTCCTAATTGGTGAAATATTAATTATACAAATGAGCAATTTTTCTGGTACAAAACAAATGACCGTCAACAATTACAACACCAACAACAACTTTTAAGCAATGAAAAGACTGTACAGTATTAGGTTGAGGCGTGCAGTGGGACAAAATGGATGGAGAAATAAAATGCAGAGATGGATCTAAATTTTCATTACGTGTGATGAACTGGTGTAAATAACCAATGTTACGCGACACGAAATCCACCAACCAAATGAAAAGGAATTATTTAGGTGTGTTATAACAGAAAATCAACAAAGTTTAAAAGGCAACATCATAATTTATAGAATTTTTATTATCCATAATTAAAAACCATATCCAAAAGACTCAATTATTAATTTGACTTTAGTATATTCATTTTTATTAAAAACAACATTATTATTATCAAGTAATAAAATTTAAAAATGCAACACTTTTGTATTAACAAGAATGTTTACAAATTTTATTTTACAGACAAGTTATTAAAATTTAAATTTAATTCACTGTATATAGGCCTATATATATATACTGTATATACACACACAATATACAACAGTATTTATTTCTAGCCGTATCTCCAAATTTATCTGGCCGAACACCCTCTTGAGGCGTACCATCGTGTAATACAATGTTCCCGACGGTTATTTGGACCTGTTCAACCATGAAGCGTTCGTGGTCTAGTGGTTATGACGCTCGCCTTGTCAGCGAGAGGTCACAGGTTCGAATCCAGTCGGAGGCATTTTATTACACAATGACTTTTTATAGGACTTTATTCGTTGAAAACCTACAGGGTAGCCTACGATGTTCCATCATGTCCTTATTAAACACTGTATATGTA